CCCTCATCCCTGCCCTGCTCTCCTTCCCTCCCACTGCTTTGAATTTCAGCCAGCACAGAGCAGCTAGGCTACCCAGAGGACAAAGAAGAGAACTGGGAGCAGGTCATAGCCTGGTGCGGCACTTCTCGAACTGCTGTCTGGGGGCAGGCATGTATTCGGTGTGCCTCGAAAATAGTGTTCCCAGCTGAGTTAACTCTGGAAGCTCTGGATTACACAGAGGCACATGGGCTTTTTCCCCAGATGACTTCTCCCAGCCTTTGTGACTCCGATGCACAGTCTGAATCTTAGGAAGGGCGATTAAGTAGGCAGCATTTCTCAAACGTATTTTACCCCATGGAAATACCTAATACCATCTCTCAGGATGGGAATAACACAGTGTAAAGGAGGCCAGCTTAGTGTTCAACAGTCTGAGCTTCAGAGTCAAGCTTAAGATCAAGTTTTGCCACTTAACTAAGTCTTACCTTAGGCAAGTTACTTCTGAGCTTCAATTTCCTATCTGTAATTGGGGTGTTAACACCCTCCTGATAGGTGTTTTGAGCACTAAACAGCATCATGTATATAAAATGTTAAGAACAATGCCTGGAGCTTAGTAAACTGTCAACATTAGTTGTCGTTTAATTGTTCAGCCTGATCACCCAAAATAAGATGATCTGCCAGCCCGGACTCCAGCTGCACACAGCTGGCTCACAGCTCTGTCTAGCCTGGAGTGCCCTCTGCCCCATACCATACTGCAAGGTGCCTGCTTCAAGCTCCAAATATAACACCTTCCTCCCCACCCCAAACCACTGTTCCTTCCTCCCTCTATCAGCATCCAGTTGCCCACACCAGAAGCCCGGGAGCCATCAAAGACTAAGCCTCCCCCCCACATGGAGTTGGTCACCAAGTGACATCAATGGCATTTCTTGTTTAAGAGATTCCAGGTTATAAAAACCCCTCCATTCCCGTGGCTCCTGTCCAGACTGCACCTACTGCCCGGCCAGTTACCAAGTCAGGTTCTTTGCCATTCTCTCTAGCAAGAAAGCCTGTCTTCCTCCCTCAGTCCACCCAGTAAACTGCTATCCTTCAAGCCCCAACTAAGGTACCATTCTTCCAAAGCCCAATTGGCAATCCTGCATTTTCTCCCTCGAGCTGCATGTCTTGCAGTGACCACATCAAGCCCCTGGGCGAATTTGTTTTCTCTTTAAACCCCTTGGTTTAAGAGAGTACCTGGCACCGAGTAGGACTGTCAGTAAATATTCGTTGAGTTAAATTTACTTGAGTTTTACAAAAAGGTACTGTCTTCCTTTCAGTGATTCAGTGATTCTTTTCAAAGGGATCGACAGCTAATTGTTCCAAAGGATTCCTTGGCTATTTTGCCACTGATAACAGCTACCATCTCTTCAGCATCTACTGTGTATCAGGTACTCTAGCAAATGCTTTATTCACATTAACTAATTTAATCCTGTGAGCTGGACTCTAGTGTTCTCCCCATTTCACAGATGAGTATTTTGAGGTTTATTTAATTGATAAATGACCAAGGCAGGATTCAAACCCATGCTTCTCCCTTCATCTGTGAACTGAGATCCACCAATATTCCCATCTTGACCATGGTCATCTGGATTTTTAAAGTGTGATTTAGTGCAAGCCTGATCTGCACTTTCCTGTGAGGAAAAGAGCCATGGGTTTTGCTTAGACCAAACTCTCTTAAAGACAATCTCCATTTTTTATTTGTACCCGTCCTTTAGAGTTCTTTTCCTAAACAGCCCAGAACCAGGAAGAGCCGAGTATAAGTCTTAGTAGCTAAATCCCTATGGCTCAAGCCTCTCCCCTGATTGCCTAAAAATGACTGGCACTTTTATGCCACATTTTCTCCGTAGGGAGGAGAGTTGGGTAATTTCATTAGGAAATTGAGCACATTCTTGAGCACTGCTTTGGTCCCAGGCATTGTGCTAAACACTGAGTTCAGACTAAGGGTTCTCTGCCTTCCGGGAGCTCATAGCCAAGTGAGGAGACAATACACATGCACATTCTGGCTAGAAAACTGGAGGTTAGGTAGAAAGAGCCCTGAACTGAGTCTGAAAGACCTGGATCCAAATCCAAATTGGAATCTGCAACTCCAAAATCCAGAAAGTTCTACAAACTGACAGTTCTGTTTTGATTTCTTTTTTTTCACAACTCGTTTGGAGGGAAAACCTGATCTACAGTGAAGTTTTTATTTGGTCATTATTCATCCCACTTAGTGTGAATATTCATACATTTTGCTGCAGAAACAATGTGTCTGATCACAGAGTGCTGCCCCAACCCCCACAGGGGGTTGTAGATAATACGCGGTTCTGAACTCTGACATTCTGACGTACATCTCACCCGCAGTTTTAGAAAAGGAATGTGAACTTAGACCTGTTGTGATCAATTGAAAGAAATGTATGAAAAGACTTCATAAACTAAACAGTGAAAAACTCAACGTAAGTTGGTCTTAAATGGTATAGTCACCCCTTCTGAGTAACGAGAGCACTGCAGATGGAGCAAGTGGTTTTCTTCAGGACCAAGAGGGTCAGAAGATATTTTAAAGGGTGAATTGAATTTCTTGCTTCGTGGAGAAGCTGTGGAAAAGAAACTCTGGGCTGAGGGAAGAGCATGTCTTTAAGTAGCTTGAGCACGTGGACTGTGTCGGCTTGTATGATTATTTGTCACAATGTCAGAGAAAAGCAGTACAGATAATATGAAGGGGCAGCTAGTCTACAGTTCATTTGCTCTGGGCAGGATTTTTCTTGCAGACTTACACACGCATTCAGAGAGAGACATCACGGTCAGGCTGATGGCTCCCTGCCCCACCTGCTGGGGAGATTGGGGAGCTGTGAACCCCTCTCCAGCTCCCCAGGAAGGTCCAGCAAGGATCACGCCTGCACACCACTCCAGGCTGGTGCTCAGCTTGCCACTCTCTGCTTGGTCCACTTAGCCCGTTACCAGCTGGCTTCTCTGGCGTCAGACCACCAGGTTAAAATCAGATCAGCCACTTAGTACTTCTCATGGCCTTCAACAAGTTATTTACCTCTTTTGTGCCTTTGTTCCTCAGCCATAAAATTAGAATAATGGCAGAAAGCTGGCATGGAAAGCACTTCAGAGTGCCTCAGTGGTAAGCACTCAAACAGTAGTTATTATGATTAGTGTTATTACAAGGACTCCCCTCCTCCAGCTGTGTATAAATACATACATTCCTTAATATTCCCTAAACAAGAAGGGCCCTTTCTTTATTCTTTCTGGCTTTGTCATAACTCCTTCCGAGTTAACTATTTTCTGTACAGTGTTTCTTTTTCAGTTTTTTGCAGCTGTTTCTCAGTCACGATGAGGCATGGCCTCCCTCACTTTGGTCATGATCCAGTACAGGGACTCCCAGACTGGGGCCCTGAGATCCTCAGGGGTCCTTGGAGGCCATCAGGGGGATTCCCAGACTAACTTCAGGATGCTCATGCAGAGCACGGTAAATCAGAGTGCCGACTTTGAAAGCAGGGAAGCCCTGCCACTGACCAGTTCTCTTACCCTGTGCAAGTTTCATCATCTTGAGGAGCCTCCATTTCCTACTTGACAGAATGGGATTATCAGTACTTTCCTCACAAGAGAGTTACAGCTTAGATCAGAGCATATATTTAAAGCCCTTAGCACAGGACCTGATGTATGACAAATACCTCATAAATACCTGCCACCATTGTTACCACTATGAGTACAAGACGTTTCTTGAAAATCACATTTTTACCCCAAATGGAGCCTCAGGTATAATTAAAAGGTCAGATTTCTGCCAGAAGTGGATAGAATTACATCAGTTTAGTTCACTGACACTAATGCCTAATGACACTGGCCTAATGCTAAGAACCTCTGTGTGGCACTTATATGTGCCTTTGGTAACTAAAAATGAAGAGGGTTATTACTTAACTACATTTGGGCAGAGGGAAACGCTGCAAACATGGAGTCTTGGTGTAGAGAAAGAAAGGAGTCTCTGGTAATTAAAAGGTCACAAGGACCGCTGGTCTAGGATACCAGTCAGTATTTTTTGGAAGGTCTCCTTTTATTACACACACACACACACACACACACACACTTTTTGGAAGGTCTCCTTTTATTACACACGCACACCTTATCACTGGGGCTCCCTCAAAAGCCCTTTAGCAGGTTTAACCCATTAACCAAAGTTCTAGTGCATAAAGACGTTAGTCCCACCATGTAGGACCCATTGTGACCAGAGCCTTACCACATAGAAATCCCACCTGAAATGGGAGAAGCTCTTGGCAGTGAGCAAGTCCAAACAACCACCACCGCCCGCCTTTTTACAAAGGGAGAAACAGGCCTAGAGTTGGGAAGAAACTTGCCCATGGCGACACAGCCATCATGTGGTGGGGCTTCATACCTAAGACTCAGTGGTCCATCCAGCATCCCTTCTGACAGACCAGGATTCTCACCCAGAAGGGACATCCCCCCAGGGGGTGAATCACAGTCACACACGGAGTTCTTTCTGAACTATGTTGCACATCTTTCCATTTCCCTCACCCGCTCTGCAACTAACAGATATGTAAATAAAAAGCGGAGAACAAATAAGCTAGCCCAGGGTGTCCCAGTTATGGTGGTCTATAAGAACTGCTTGGGCTGCCCCTTATCTTGAGATTCTGGTTCAGTAGGTCTGAGCTGGGGCCTGAGAATCTGCATTAGTAAGCACACCAGGTGATTGTGATAAGTTTTGGAAAACACAAGGCGAATCCAGGCCAGCAGAAGGTTTACTAGCTTCTGTCTTAGAATGGGCAAGGGGATTTCGAGGGTACTAGAGGTTTTCCACATGCAGTTAATGAGTTAACCCATAGCCTGTGCTAATTCCCTATAGCACCTTTCTCTCTTCTAACAAGCCTAATCCCTGGGCACACAATGGCAGCTCAAAAATGTTGCTGCCTGACCTACTTTGGGGAGATGATTTGAGCAAAAGATGCCCTATGTTTAGCCTGGGTGACATTAACATCTCTCTGTGGCTTTGTGCTTAGACTGAAGAACCTGGAGCTAGCTGCTGTGGGCGGATCAGACGTCCATGTGAAGATGCTGGCGGCCCCTATCAATCCATCTGACATAAATATGATCCAAGGTAACCTTGGTTTCTGTGGCTTATGTTAATTGGCTTTTTTGCTTAGCCGCCACCTTGTTTTCATCCTTCCTCAGGTGTGGGTGTGAAATTCCTGTGATTAGCAGCAGCTGCTCTCCAGATGAGCCATCTGCAGACTACCAGGCCTCTCTGGCCTCCCTTCTCTGGAATGTGAGGCTTTTCAAGAGTTAGAAAGATTGCAGTGGGGAGTAAACCAACCACTGTGAGTGCCTGCGATATGGTGGGCTCATTTCATACATATCTAATCCCCATAATAACCATGAACACTAAAAAATATCCCCTTTACGGATGAAGAAGCTAAGGCTCAGAGAGTCTGGTTAGTTACACAGCAGGTCAAAGGCAGAGCCCAGATCGCGCTTAGATCTGACTCCAAAGTTCATGCTCTTTCACTGCCCAGACTTCACAGGGTGACCCTCTGTGCTCTTCTCCCTTAGGAAATTATGGCCTCCTTCCCAAGCTGCCTGCTGTTGGAGGGAACGAAGGCGTTGGACAGGTGGTGGCAGTGGGCAGCAGTGTGACTGGGGTGAAGCCAGGAGACTGGGTGATTCCAGCCAGTGCCGGTTTGGGTGAGTTTCTCCAGGTGTCTGCAGCCTGTCTTTGTTCCAGATTGTATTTCACTTGCACTGGAAATGTTTGCTCATTGGCTCAGTGTGACTAAGCAATGCAGGGTTTATTAGTGAGTTCATATACCCACCACCAGTAGCAGTGGGAGCGGAACAGGAGAGCAGAAATTGTGTTTCTTCCGCTCTGGAGGTGGTGGACCTGCTCTCTCATCTCTTTGGGCCTATGTTGATCAGAGCTATGAATCCCTACATCCCTAAATCCCTGCTATAAGATACAGTGGGAAACCCAAATAAGACAGCCCCTGCCCTCCAGAAGGTTAAAATCTAATTGAAGAAATCTCCAAACTAGTAACCTCAATAAAGGGTGTGTTAGAAGTTCACGGGAAGCAGAGGGCACTTCTGGCTCCTCTCTGTGTGAATGCAAATGTGAGAGAGAGAGACAGTCTTAAGGAAGGATGAGGACTTTGTGGAGGAGGCTTCTTTGGAATGGACCTTTGATGGATGGATTATGTTAGATGGAGATGAGCCAGAAATCATTACATTTGGAGGAAATGAAATGAGCAAAGACACAGGTGACTGTGGGAAATGGTGAGAAATCCAGTGTAGCCTCAGCAGAGGATTTGCACATGGGAGAGGATTGCTTAAATGATGAACAAGATTACAAAGGTAGTGGGGCCACATGGGGGAGCCCTGCAAAAGCCAAGCTAAGGAGTTAGAGTTCTCTTTGATATCTAGTAAGGAGTCATTGATGAGTTTTGTTCCTTAGCACTTCAGTTTTTGAGGCACAAACATTATACAAAGGATCCTGACAGCAGCCACAGAGGGAAGCAGGGAAGACAGTATCTACCTATTTGGACGTCTCAGGGACTGAAGCTCAAACTCAAACAGCAAACTGAAAGCCCACCAAAAATCTTGTCGCCACTGTTTTTCCCGCTATACTACAGTATTAGGATTCTCTGGGGTATCACAGAGAGTTGATTCAAACTTGGTTTATAAAAAAAGAAGTTAAAAAAGAAGAAGAAGTTAATTGGTTGGGGTTAATTGAAGTTAATTGGAACTTGGAAGTACAAGAGATGCAAGGCTTCAGGCACTGCTGGATCCAGGAACCCAGTGATATCAGAGCTCATTCTCTTGTTCTCACTAGTTCTCAGATGGAATCTTCCCACATAGTGCTGTAATAACATCAACAAATATTTATTGTCTACTCCCTTTGCACCTGGCACTGTTCTAAGCACTTTGTATATATTAACTCAGTTATTCCCACAACAGGAGGTAGATACAAGACAAATGTAAAATATTAAGCAACTTGCCCAAGGTCACCCAGCCAGTAAGTGGTGGAGGTGAAATTCAAACTGACCTTTCATAGATGGCCACCAGCATCCTGAGGTTTGCGTCATCCTAAGAACAAACAGATGAACACAGTCTGCCCAGCACAGCCATATCCATCTGCTAACAGGACTCTGACCGGCGCTGCCTGGGTCTTTGCTGATCCATGAGCCCCATCCTTTCCAGCACTGTCACCACAAGCATCTTCACTGCAAGCATTTTCGTGGCATAACTAATTGGCCATAAGGCAACTTTGCTTTAAAAGATAAAATCATGAAAAATAAAAGCAGGACATTCATTAAAAAGGACATCATGAAACATGAAAAATGAGTAACAAAAAAAAAGACTTTATTGCAAAATACAAAATGTTGGAATATATTCAAAATGTATAGTGTAGATCCATAGCAATACTGCACAAATACTGATTTTATTTCATGATCCACAAAAGGTACCTAAGCGCTTGTCTTCAAAGTCTTTTATTCCTAGTATCATACGATGTTTTTGCTTGTTGATTCATCTCCTGAATCAGTATCATGCTTTTTTTTTTTTGCTAAAATTTCTTCCTTGATTAAGAGAGGTATCAGTTTCCAGATACTAGGATGCACGTTTGTAACTGGGCTTTGTATTATGTTGTGAAAGCCTTTTGCACTGTTGTCTGGTTTTGGCATATTGTCACATTTCTGTTGATAGATGTTCCTAAGTTCTCTGGGAAATGTGGGCTCAAAACTCTGTGCTAATGTATTGACCATTATGAGGGCTAAGGTTTATACAGTATAAAACGGAAGGGATGTGTCAATGGAGAAATGAAACCAAACTGTCAACCAGTAGATGAAACCAACAAACTGTCAAACCAAACTTTTTTTAACTTTTTATGGCAAAATTGCCTTATGGCTAATGAATTATATGACAAAAATGCTTGTGGCAAAGATGCTTATGGCCTGAAACCACCAGGGGTGTGGGGTTGGGCCACTCCAACTGCCCCAGCTGAGTCTCTTGCCCACCCCTGTGGTTCAGAGGATGGGGTTTTGTGGTTGACAGCCTCAGAGGTTAGGAAGGAACAGTAAAAGAAAGGTACCAGGCAGGAAAAAACAATAACAGAAGTCTACTAGAAGCTCTTTTCTTCTCTGAGATCAGAAAAGCTGCCAAGAAGGACGCCTGGGTGGCTCAGTCGGTTAAGCATCCAACTCTTGATTTCGGCTCAGGTCACGATCTTGGGGTGGTGAGATCAAGCCCTGTGTTGGGCTTTGCGCTGGGAATGGAGCCTGCTTGGGATTCTCTCTCTCCCTCTCCCTCTGCCCCTACCCCTCCAAAAGAAAAGAAAAGTTGCCAAGAATGGCTCCACCCTCTCCTGCAGCCCCCCTGTCAGTGAAGGAGCCCAGCCATCTGAGCAGAGAGCTGCAGGATTCACTGTATCAAGAGGGACTGGTGCTTTGCGCCAGCCCCTGTCAGACACAGTGTCTGCCCTCAAAGTGTTCTTGGCTGGGGATGGGGAACCCAGGAACAGAAAAACAACATTTAGCACAATACAATCTGGTAAGCACTGTAAAGAGAGGGTGGACACAAAGGCAAGGGTCCCCTGTCTTCGGAAGCATGAGAAGAGGCTTCCCAAAGAAGTGGTGCCTGAACTCAGCACCCCCGTGGGCTAGGTGAGGAAGGGCTTCCAGGCAGGGGGTGCAGCGTGCACAAAGGTGCAGCTGTGGGAGAAGGCATGGCACTGTCAAAACTGCAGGGGTGTGGCTGGGTCCCAGCTGGCCTGAGGGAGACACCAGATGAGGCTGTAGAGGTAGGCGGGGGCCCAGTCATGGAGGGCACACATCTAGGGTCAGAGAGAGCCCGAGGAAGAGTTCAGAAGCATGAGTGGACCAGACTTGGGCACTGCAGAGAATGCTCTGGAAAGGCAGAGGTTGGAGGCAGGAAGCCAGTAAGGAGGTGGCTAAACAGTTCAGGCTTCACATGAGAAGGGTCTGAACAAGGCAGTGCCATAGGGCCTGAGAAGACAGGATGGAGTTAGGAGCTAAAGAAACAAGTCGGTCACTAGATTTGGAGAGAAGAATGAGGGGCGTCTGCCAGGGGTGCGGGTAATCACACAGGTGGAGGAGGTGGGCGTCAGCCAGAACGGGATTTCTCCCTGGACAAAAGGTCAGTCTTTCCCACCAGGTGCATGCCAGTCAAAGAGCATGAGGATTTTATAATGGCTGGGACTGTCATCAACTCCATTTAGTCAGCAAGCATTTTGTGAGCCCCTGCCGTGTGCAGAGCTCTGGCACACGGCAGCAAACAGACATGGTCTTTCTTCTGGTGAAGGCTGCAGGTTAGTAAGAGTGACAGTCAGTAAACAGAGCAGTCCTCAACTGGCCAGACCTTGACCATCCTTCATGGTGCTGAGCTGTGCCCATAGCCAGCATTTCCCCACAGGCAGCCAGTCCCCAGGGAGACCAGGCCAGAGAATGTGCAGACTGACTCTCTCATTGGAAATGCTCAAAACCCTCCCGAGGCAGCACGGGGTGGGAGCAAGAGCATCGGCCTGGGAATCTCATTCCACCCCCGTGGGTGACCTTGTTGAAACCACAGCTACTTTGAGCCTCAGTGTCCTGATCTCTACAGTGCGGCTAACAGTCACTGCCTGACATATCCCAACTCACTCGTACAGCTCAGCTGAGGGAAGAAACACAAGAATTTTGACAAATTAAATTTCCATACGCGTGAGATCAGGGTCAGCAAACTTTTTTTTTAAAGGGGCCAATTGTAAATATTTTCAGGTTTGCAGGCCACACTGCCTCTACTCAGCTCTGCCATCCTAAACAGCCATGGATAATACATAAGAAGTGAGCATGACTATGTTCCAATAAAACTTGGTTTAACAAAAACAGGTGGTAAACCAGGTTTGGCCCATGGCATAGTTTGCCGACCCCTGCATTGGGTGGTAGAGATGGTTAAGGGCCAGTTGCACAGGAGTGAGGAACGGGAGTCCTGAGAACTGGGACATGAGACTTAGGATCAGTAAAGAAAACCAAGGGACATTGCACATCTACTGTGTACTAGGCACAGTGATCATCTGTACAAATGTCATTGTGTTTAATCTTCACACTATGACATGAGTGTCAAAAAAGGTGCAGTGATAATTCTAAGCCACACAAATCATGAATGGCAGAGCCGGGATTTTAAAACAGGTCCCCCACTCCAGGGTCTAAGAGTTTCTACTTTAAAACCCTGAAAGCTCTTGGGGCTGACCTTGGGCACTACCCCCATCCCACCTAGGTTCTCTTGAGAAGAGGATTAGGGACTGCCAAGCCCCAGAAATTCATGTCAAAGGCTGGATTTCCATTGTGGTGTCATCAAGGGGAATTAGAAAACACCCCTGATTTCATGCATAGAAGGCCCTTGTAGTAAGTGTCTGGTGCAGAGTAGAGACGGTACATGTTGGCTAAGGTGAATGGGGGCCATGATTATGAAGATGGCAATGAAGATTTGAAAACCAGGCTGGGTGGAGCCCAGAGAATGCCCAGGTACCTCCTAGATTCCAAAGGAACCCTTCAGTTTTCCAATGTCTCATCTTCTCAGCCACAGATCTACTCTGGAACTGATATAGCCCTTAACAAAGTGTGTTTCTACCTCCTGTCTCTACTACCTGGTCCCTGAAGCCCACATTGTCTCTCCCCTCCTACAGCACAATTACTAGTTGCCTAGGCTGTCCCCTCCTCTCCATACCTGACCATGTGGTCCCAGGGTACAGTTCGAATCCCAGCGCACTCCGGAGCTTTGGAGGCATAGGCCAAAACCCCTGAGACCCATAGCCACCAGACCCTGAGCCAGCAAGGCTCCAGATAGTTTCTCTATTGACCTAGTGAGTATGTGGTGGAGCCAAGGCTTGAATCTGTGTCCTCCTCACCTCTGCTTTATACAGGATCCTGCCTGCATGGGTGAGCACCTGTCAGATGGCAGGTTGTAACCCATTAGCAAAATCGATCTAGGGGGTTGCAAACAGCATTTTTTTTTTTTTTTTTTTTTTTTTACTAAAATCAGAATAGAATCACGCATCACACATAGTAGGGTAAATATTGTTCCATGAAACTTTGGTTTCTGTTATATGTATGTGTATGTATTTATATATGCGAATGTACTGAGTGACACCATAACTCATGGTTACTCCAGGTCAGGACTGTGAAAGTCTGGGTGACATTCCTCTAGCCCAGGCCACTTCAGCCATGGCCCAAGCCTGTCTTCCCATCACTCTCTGCCCTGCAGTCTCTATCCTCCCAGGTCCTTCTTCTGTCTGTCCTGCCTCAGAGCCTCTGCGTATGCTTTTTCTTCTCGCTAGAATGTTCTGGATGTACTCTTTGAGTGGCTGGTATCTGTATCCTTTAAATCTTGGCCCGCACGTCCTCAGAAAAGCTGTCCCTGACCCCTATCTCAAGTAATTCTCCCCAGTGTTATTTTCTGCCTCTATAATTTGTAGTTACTGTATCTGCTTGTCTGGTTTTTATGTGTTCTCCACTGGAATAAAACTCCATGAAAGGCTGGAATGCATCTGTGCTGTTCAGGCATCTGGCTCACAGTAGGTGCACGGTAAGTATCTGCAGATTGCAGGGGCAGCCCAGGTTGGCCAGGAGACTTAGGGCAAGTCACTTTCTTGGTTTCCCACCCTGTTGAATGAGGAGGTTAAACTCGATGCTCTAAGGGCCTTCTCAACACTGATGTTTTACAGTTCTTTTGTCTGCAACTGGAATGTGGGCTGGAGATTAATGATCATTTCTCTCCAGTTTACAGGAGTTTGTCATTTCCCTTCTTTCATTTGATTTGTGCAGCAGCTCTTAGAGGAGGCCAGTCAGGCTCTTCTTACCAGCGTCATTTACATATTAGGGTAACCAAAACTCAGTGACATAGGAATCTGCTCAACTAGCAGACCAGCAAAACCAGGTCCCAAACCTAGGCCTTTGACTTCTACTTTCATGCTTTTTTCCATAATACTACCCAAGTCAACCTGCCCTCGATGAGGAAAAGGAGGACTGAGCAGGAAAATGGGGGCTTTCGCAGCTTCCCTTGCCCATGTCATGATGTTACTCAGAGCCCAGTAGTTTCAGATCCTTAGCCACCTGCTGGGCGACATGAGCTACGTCTAATGGTAACTAATGTGGGAATAACAAAATCTACCTTATATAACTATCATGAAGATTCACAGAGATTCAAAAGGACTTCAAGATCTTTCTTTTTTCTCTAAGTGGTACTTGAAGGCTGACATCTTAGGTGCCCGTTTACTGAGGAGGGTGACGTGGGGCCAGGTGCGGAGAGGGATCCTGTCTCACTAGCCTGGACTCATCCCCTGACTCAGGAACCTGGCAGACCGAGGCTGTGTTCAGTGAGGAAGCACTGATCAGCATTCCGCGTGACCTCCCTCTTCAGAGTGCTGCCACCCTGAGTGTCAATCCCTGCACGGCCTACAGGATGTTGATGGACTTTGAGCAGCTGCAGCCAGGTAGGAGCCCACAGGTGCTGGGAGCGGGCCGGGATCTCCTGACTGGGATGGGACCCAAGCCCTGACCCTGAGACCGTGGGAACTTACCAGTAAGGGGCTGAGAGGAAGACAGGCCCTGAACCTGGGTGAGTGAGTGGTGGTTGCTTTTGCTTTGTTAGCTTGGCTCCTAGAAAACATGCTGAAACCTCATGAGGAGAACACTCTGGATAACCGCTGAAGGATCGCATTCCCTAGAGCTTGGGAGGGAATTCTGTCGTTCAGCAAAAACATGGAGCTGTGCTAAGCTCTGGGATACAAAGCCAGACAAGATAGACAGAGTGCCTGTGTTTTCAGTAAAATGCTGAACTTAGTAATTCCACTCAGCATTCATATGACACTTTGCAGTTCACATAAGTGCCTGTACATGCATTAAACCTTCAGAGCAGTGCAGTGAGGTTGGTATCATTGGTGGAGAGCTGAGGCCTCAGGCAGGAAACCTGGGTCTGAACCCCAGCTTCACCTCTCACTGTGAACTGATCTCTCAGATCATCAGATGCATCACCCATAAGGTGGAGAGTAAGGGGTTGTGAGGATTAATGGAGACACTGCAGCGCGACACTCAGCACAGTGCCTGGCACACAGCACAGTAACCCTGCACTTTCTTATTCTTCCTGTTCAGAAATGAGGAAACTGAGATCCAGAGAAGGAAATTGCTTACGTGAGATCACTCAGCAAGGAAATGACAAAGCCAGGTGTTCTATTCGGGGTTCCCTGAAAGCAGAACCTGAGACAAGGACTGAGGGTGGACAGTTTGCAGGGGAGGTGATCCCAGGAAGCAGGAGTGAGGGGGTGGGGAGAGCGAGACGGAAGGGGGAAAAGCCAGGGAAGGCTGGTTACTACTGTGGGCGAGCAGGGCTCAGTCTTGCTGGGAGGGAGCCTCTGAAGACCCTCATGGAACCCACCTCACAATTAACCTTCCATTGACAGAAGGCTGGGCTCATCCCCATTGTTAGAGAGTCACCCTGCACACTATGCATGTCCAGGGGCTAGAGAAACCGCCTAGTCTAGCTCTGCCATGCGGGTGTTGAAACTGAAGCAGAGATGTTGGAGCAAGATTAGCTTAGGTAGCCACTACTGCTCGAGGCTAAAAACCAGTCCCAGCTTCCCGCAAAGAGAAATGCAGTTCCTCACAGCTGTGCCAGAGCGGTCCTGGGAGCCTTTGGTGGAAAAAGCCAGCAGGTGACCAGGGACCTTTGCCCTAGTCCTGGTCCAGGAGGCGTTGTAGTCACCTGCATCTCATCCCCTCAGGCCACCTCTGCTTTGGGCCGCAGCTGGACATCAGGGCATTCTGACACCACCCCCACCTCAGGTGCCCATGGTGCATCTCCACTTGCCTGCCTCCGGGAAGGTGTGCCCTGGGCTAGATCAGTGTTATTCTAAATTGTCATACTGAGTCATAGTGAGAATTATGGTTTACATTGTAATGCAGTACATATACATGTGAGTATGTATGTAATGGAAACCAAAGTTACATGGAGCAGTATTTACCCTAACTATATGTGGTGCACTATGTTCTTTTTAATTCTATTTTCTGGAATTTTAACTTAAAAAAATGCTTCTTGCAACCCACTAGGTTGATTTTATAACCCACGAATGGGTCACAATCTATGTGCTGACTCCTGGCTACAGAGAATGGGCATTCTTCTTCCAGGAACTCCCCTGTCTGTAGCCCCAGATCCCTGCATTTCAGATCACATTTTTGGATAACAGAGCACCTTCCTGGACACAATGGCATCTGACTAATGAGGAGCATCCTGATTGGTACTCCCAGGACTCCTGTCTCATGGAGAGAAAACTGAGGTCATGACCTGTCCCATGTTATGGTCCGTTACAGTCAGTGAGAGAGCTGGGACTCACAGCAGGTCCATCTCATTTCAGAGCCCATGTTTTCCCCAGCAGGCCATGCTGCCTCCCCCATTGGCAGCTTCTAAAGCCGGGCCTGGGCTTTCACCATAGACTACCTGTAGGACCCGGTTTCTGGGGCTGCGAGTTTCTCCAGCACAGCTGTAAACCCATTTCAAGGCAGTGTGCCTGTACTAAGCAGCACAAAGGGGAAATAAAGCATGGCCGTGCCCTCAGGAAGCTCCAGGCTTCAGGCTCTTGCTAGAAATGGCCTATCCACAACCAGGTGTAAGATCAGGCACACCACCTAGAGAGCACTGGGGAAACACACACACACACACACACACACACACACACGGAAGATGGGAAGGAAGCCATGCCTGAGCTGTGCTTCAAAGGGTATGTGGGATTTCAAAACGAAGGAAGAGAGAAAGAGAAACATTGCAAACCATGGAAATAACCTAAGCAGAGATTTGAGGACATAAAAATCAGGAGGATAATGAACGATATAAAATCATTTACACAGTGGGGTCTAAATTATGTACAGTGTGGACTCTGAGTTGCCAAGTCCTGGGAAGCACCATGGGTGTTGTGGAATTTTGGGGGGCATTGGGAGAAGAGTAAGTAACAGGTCTGAGAAGGCTCAGCAGCCAGGTCCTGGGTCATTTTGAGCCTGAGGACTCCCCTCTCTTGCCCCGTAACAGGATCCCAGGCAGGGAGTGCTTGACCTGTTACAGGTCTCTAGGGCTTAACTTGGATTTCTTCCTGGCTTCACAGGAGACTGTGTCATCCAGAATGCGTCCAACAGTGGAGTGGGGCAAGCAGTCATCCAGATCGCCGCGGCCCTGGGCCTGAGGACCGTCAATGTGGTCCGAGACAGGTGTGTGGGGAGACCTGATCTCAGTGCTCGCGACCTGGGCCTCCCCCCCACCGTCCCTCCCAGATCCCTGCAGGCGCCCCTGTCTCCACCAGAGGGCGCCCGTGCATAAGCAGTCCTCCTCCGCGGCGGACGCACACCACTGACCGTTGTCAAGCTCCCCGAAAGGAGGCCCAGGTGGCCTCTGGCTGTAGGATGAGCGACATCCCAAATGTAAAGGGAGAGCAGGAAGGCGGTGGGCCCGCCCTTGCTGAAGACTCTTTGAGAGTTTTTGAGACTCTTGTGATAACCCATGATCTCAAAGCCGCAGTTCATATTTGGGAATGCCTGAAGCTGGGTTATCCCTACTGTGAACTGTGGAACCCAGGGCCCTTTCTCCCCTAGCGTCTGCGTGGCACTTTGAACGGCTCTAACTAGGGATGTGAAGGAGATGGGGCAGGTGTGGCATCTCTGTTTTGCAGTGAGGAAACAAGTTTCAGAGAAAGGAAGACACAGTAATTCAGTACCAGACTTAGCTCCCGGGCTCGTGCTTTTTCCACCGTACCATCCAGGTGCCTTAAGCCTCACTGTCAATGAATGGGGCTACGTCTGTCATGGAAGTCCAGTCTTTGGAGGAGAATTGACATTCACTTCCCTTCCCTGGCCCTTCAGTTGTGTTAACAAAAATTACCGTTTGCCTTGGCCACAGAGGCCCAGAGCCACTCATGGGCTGGAGTGTGTTTGCACAACACCCTGAAGAGCCCCTTGAAAAGCGTGGGGGAAAGGAAATGAAGCTTGTTGTTTTGGTAGACAAAGTCAGGACGTGAAATGTCTCCCTGGGCCAGATGGTTTCTCGCACCTTTGAACTGGCAAGGGCTATAGAAATCACCCCATAATACCACTGAGGGAACCGAGGCCTGGAGGTGTTGGGAGTGTGATGAAATCAGGTAGCCAGCCCCTACATAAGGCCTGGCTTACACTCAATCCCAGCTTCCCACAAAGAGAAACTTGTGTTCTCACAGCTGTGGCGGAAGGGTCTTACGAGCCTATGGTAGAGAAAGCCAGTAGGTGTGACCAAGGGCCATGGATTGTGTTTGGTTTCCAGACCTGACCTCCAGAAGCTGACTGACAGACTGAAGAGTCTAGGGGCTGAGCATGTTCTCACAGAAGAGGAGCTAAGAAAGCATGAGATGAAAAACTTCTTTAAGGTACCTAGGATGAGGGGCATTGTGTCTTCATTCCATGCTCATCTCCCTGGAGAAAGCTGACCTGCTAGAAAGACTGGGCCTGGCCCAGCTCCTCTCCAAATCCTCTTTTTGTCTCTGTGGAAGGATAAAGCCCATTCCCTCAGCCAGGGGACAGCATGCATTAAGGGCCCAGGTGCTGTGAGGGAGGCAAGAGAGACAGACAAAGTTCAAAAAACCCCAGATGATGTGTAGGTTTGAATATTTGTAGTGCGTCGCCTCAGCCCTCACAGCCAATGTGAATCTCCGAGCTGGGAGAGGCCCTAGGGAACCTGAGGCACAGGGAGAGAACAGAAAGTATTTCTGAAGCACCCTCCTTATATTGTATCTGATTAATCCCCACAAAAGTTCTACAAAGTAGGTGCTATCTCTTTTCTAGGTGAGAAAACCAAGACTCAAAAGACATCAAGGATTTCACCAAGGGTAGACAGTTACAAGTGGTGGAGTCAGGGCTGTCTGAATTCACAGTCTCTTAACCTTCCAGAACCTCCACCCCCAGCACACCCAGTAGGTGACCAGACCACATCTCAGCCTCCTTCCTCTGAACCCTGGAGTGACCAAACACACACACTCTCTTGAGAACACATGCCTCTTAAGAACGTTTCTGAAGCAGGAGATCAATACCTCCTACATGAACTGAGTTGTAAGTGCAGAGAAGAGGTGCACTCGGGGGACCCGAAGTCCTTCAAAAAGGAACATAGATGCCCACCATCTGTTCTTTCCCAGAGACAAGTTTTGAACAAAATACCAAAACAGATAACAGGATTAAGTTGATAAAGCAAAGGTCCTCCCTGGGCAGTGTTTGAAGGCACGAACATCCCATTTTCTTCACCCCCTCCCTCTGACACAGCGCTTGGGCCAGGGGGGCACTGTTTGTAGCAAGCTTCCACCCCCCCCGCCCCCCGCACCCTCCACCTCCCCTGTACAGCGGCAGCTCCCTCACTGCAGGTTCCTTATTTTCCAGGACATGCCCCCGCCGCGGCTTGCTCTCAACTCTGTTGGCGGGAAAAGCTCCACAGAGCTGCTGCGACACTTAGCGTAAGTCCCTCAGCCCTGCAGGCCCAGTTGGCCAGAGCTCTCCAGGCCTTTAGCTGGGAGGACTGTCAAGTGACCAAGTCCCAGTGGCCAGTGCAAGCCAACGCCAAGTCAGCATAACCCTGAGCAGGAACCTGGGACCACGGTCCTGCCCTAGTTATCCCGGCACTTCCTTTCCCAGGCTCCTCCTCTGCAGATGACCCAGAGAACCGTCCACTTTGTTTCTCCAAGGGACCCCGGAAGGAAAGCTTTCTGTGAGAGGGGAGTAGTGAAGGATTCATAACCGAGGGGGCATCTTAGGAAGTCCCTTAAAGTCCTAGCTTGTTAGCTTTTAAATTTCTTACTAGTTTTTAAAAAATAGATTCTAAGTTTAGAGGTAAAATTATGCTCTTACGAAACAATTTGAAAGCACATAAAGGTACAAAGGATGGGGCGCCTGACAGGCTCAGTTGGTGGAGCATGCAACTCTTGACCTCAGGGTTGTAAGTTCAAGCCCCACGTGAGGTGTGGAGATTACTTAAAAAATAAAATCTTAAAAAAAAAAGTACAAAGGAAAAATTAAACACAAAAGTTACCTATCATCCCACAACCAAGGGGGATAAGCATTGTTGACAATATTAACAGCACATGTCCTCCCCTTGTTTTCTCTGTTAACATGAACTTCTTGAGCTGAGGGGCGCCTGAAAGGATACTTTCCAACTAAAGCAGGAATCCCCTCAACAACATTAGTTGACACATACTTGCTAGCACTCGCTAGCTACAGGGTACAGAAATGGCTGAGACACTGAGGGAACTCTCTAGAATTCACAGGCTAGATGGGAAGATGGGTCATGTGGTCAAAGAGCTGTGATAGCCATCACTGGGCATTTACTTGTGTACCAGACTGTGCAGAGTGCTTGACTCATCCCCCACGACCACCCGGGCCTGGGATACTGTTCCCATCCCTATTTACACAAGGCCCGAAAGGGTAATTACCTCACCCCAAGGTCTGGGAAGTGGGAGAGCCAGGCTTAACCCCAAGTTACTGGGAGTCCTGAGCATACCCCCTCTGCCCAAGTCCAAGGGGCCCCGGGGCAGCCTGCCATCCCCACAGCACTCACTGTAGGAGGAGGCCCTGGAGGTGCCAAGTCCCAGCTGTGCTACTTACTAGCTGTGAGCCCGTGGGAAGTTAAACAATACAGGAAAAATCCTCCAGGCCTCAGTCTCCTCGTACAGATTAGTCAGAAGGTTAGTCCGAGGACACTGAGGTGATGCAGAAATCGTTACACGGTGGCCTTCAGTTTTCTCATTATAAAGCCAGAGTGATAGAAGTGCTCCCCTGGGGTTATGAGGAGGCTTCACCAAGCCAGTGCACATGGAAATACTCAGATCTGTGCCTGGCACCCAGAAAACACCTAGTGAACGTTAGCCATTCTGGTTAGAACAAGTGTAGTACGGGGGCGGGGGGGGGGGCTTGATCCCCCCAGGAGCTACTTTCCGGACCAGGTGTCAGCTGAAGGGAGCTTAAGACCAAACTACCCACAAGCCTCCCAGACAGAATCACCTGCCTCACACCACAGCTTCTTCCATTCTGTAGTTCACAAAGCACCCCCCACTCACCTGCCATCAACCTTGATCAGCAAACTCCTAAAAGAGCCAGGGAGTGGGGAGGGGAACACAGGTTAAGTCGAGCATGGGAAGTCCTAGCTTGTTCATTTTCAAAAAACTATTCGAGCCTCTCCCGTTTAACTGCTGGGGTGGGTGTGGGTGTCAGACAGCAGGGCCTGGCCAGGGCCCTCCTGCAGCGAGAGGGCAGTCGCCCACTGTCCTCTACCCCAGCCATACCATTCCTTATGTGTATAGCCACCTCATCTCGCTGCTCCTTCGAGTAAGCGTGAACAGGTGAAGAGCAGAGAGGTCTGCACCAATGTCTGTACTGCCCAAGGCCACACATCTAGGAGTGGAGGGTAGCCAGGACTAACCTCGTGGGGCTTGGGCTTTTTTCAGCAGAGCACGCTTCTTTGCAGTACTTCATCCAAGCCTGACTGGGTGGTTAGATCAGTGAGTTCCCAACTCTGGCTCAACATCCATGTCATCTGGCAGGGGTGTTTGTCCGTTGGCTTGAATAGAGATCCTTGCTTCCTGATTCCTTAGGTCTGGGTCGGACCTCGGAGTCTGCAGTTTTTGAAACCTTCCCAAGGATTCTAAGAGCAAGGTTCAGGGACCAGGGTTGGAATAGAAGTGTTCTGGCGGGTTTGAGAAGGGCTCTGTCTCTGCCTGCACCCACTCTGTTCTCTCTGGACTCTTCAGGCCTGGGGGAACCATGGTGACCTACGGGGGAATGGCCAAGCAGCCCGTCATAGCCTCTGTGGTAAGCTGGTGGGGGAAGCAGGCATGGACACAGGCCTGGACACCATAGTTGTCCAGACCCACAGGTGCCCTTGTCCCTGGACGGAGTCTGTACCTCAAGCAGCGCCTGAAATGCTTGCCCTCAGAGCCCCAGTTCATCCTTCTTGTATCCACAGAGCCAGCTCATTTTTAAGGATCTCAAACTTCGAGGCTTTTGGTTGTCCCAGTGGAAGAAGGACCACAGTCCAGGTGAGTGGATGATGACCCCATTGCCAAGGGTCACACGAGAGGGCAGTGCCTACTGCAGAAGTGACCGCCATCCTGAGGCCTAGAGGGGTGATGGGCTCCCCAGTGCCATGACAGGTTAAAGGAAAATAGCCTCTAGCCACAGCTGCAGTCAGCAGATAGGTACTGGGCTCGAGGGAGCTGGTCCTGGGGGTGGCAGCAGTGAGCAAGGCTGCCCCTGGGGGAGACTGCCATGGAAGACAGCCAGGTACAGAGAACAAACTCTGGAGCCAGCCTGCCTGGGTTCAAATCCTGCTCCCACCATCACTGGGGATAGGTTTACCCAGCCTAGCCATGGGACCTGGACAAGTTACTTAACTTCTGTCTCAGTTTAAATATCATAGTTGTCTAGATATTGTTGGCCTTTGATTGAGGAGGAAACTGAGGTTCAGAGTGGTTAGGTAGCTTGCACAGTCTCCCCACGTAGGGAGTGATGCAGCCACAATGTAAACTCGTCTCTGACTCCAGAACCTGAGCCAGTACACCATCCTTCCCCTCCTGGAGGACTGGCTGCCCAGAATGTGACACGCCCCCCCCCCCCAAGCTGAGACTGAAAAAACACATGGAGTCATTCAAGTGAAGGGGAGCAAAGTGGTGGTGTCAGTGGCGTGTTTCAGGCCGGAAAAGTAGCCTGTGCAAAAGCGCATCATAGAGAGTGGGGACCTAGACAGATAGGTTGTGACCAGATTATGAAAGGCTTTACAACCCTTCTTAAGGAGCTCAGACTCTATCTTAAAGGCAAGGGAAGAGCCACTGAAGCGTTCTAAACAGGGGACATGATTAGATTTGAATGTTACATGAATTGATGTCTATGAAAAACCACTTCTCATCTTCCTGGACCATAGAGGGGGACGGGCCCTGGGAGGGGATGCTGGGGACCTCAACTTGTGGGGTTCTAAGGGAGTCCTGAGCTCTTTCCCTGAGCAAAGCTCATCAGTTCCACATCAGCTGGCATGCCAGCACACCCACCCCCTCCCTGTGCCTCTTCTAGCTGCCCTGCCTCAAAGTACTCCTGCCGCTCCCACCATTCAGGACTCTCGGTTACACCCCAGTCAGGTTCTGTGGGTCTGAGCCCTCTTAGCCACCACTCTGCCTGGCCCTCAGTCCTGGGGCCACTCCCCCATGCTCCTCTGTCCTACCCCACCAGGGACCAGGCCGCCTCCACAGCCTCCCTATCCCTCGTCAAGCCTGGGCTCTCGAGGCTTTCCTAGAGTTTAGCGTCAGCTTCTGCCACTGGGGGTGGCTCGTGGTCTGTCTTGCCGTGACCTGCCGCTGCGCCCCCGTCTGACTTCCTCAACTTCCCACAGCCCAGTTCAAGGAGCTCATCGTCACACTGTGTGGTCTCATCAGCCGGGGCCAGCTCACAGCCCCCGCCTGCTCCGAGGTCCCACTGCAGGACTACCAGCGTGCCTTGGAAGCCTCAGTGCAGCCCTTCGTGTCTTCAAAGCAGATTCTCACCATGTGCTAATCGCGGAGGAGCCGGAGCGAGGTGGGAGGGGAGATGGATCAGCAGGACTGGTTTCTGGCGCCTCCGTCAGGGCCCTCTCAGCCTTCCCCAGGCTGCCCTCTCCTCACTGTCACTTCCGACTGGGAGGGTTGTGAAGCCAGCCAAGGCTTTCCCCAGGGCCAGCCCCGGGGTATCTAATAAAGTGAACTTCCTAAAAACACACACATACAAACCCATAAAAGTCATCCCTGTCAAGAAGGACCCTCGTTGTACACATGCCATTCCCCAGCACTAAGAAGACCCCTTGCCTGTCCTCTACTTGTCCCCCAGTGATGATTTCCTGACGGCCCTGAAACAAAGCAAGGGTAGGCACTGGCAGGTACAAAAGCCAGTAGGATGCAGTCTCCCCCCTCAGGCTCTCCACAGGGGAGCAAAAAGGAACGTCTGACTCATTCTGTGTCGCATGTGGCTCAGTCTGGGGCCGGAGGAGGATCAGCTACATGGGAGAGTGAATGCCAGGCTGAGGAGCCAAGGAAATGGGGTCTCAGCTGGCTGGACCACCCTATGGAATGCCTGTTCTACCTGGGGAGATGGTTGTTACACCAGTGCTTCTCAGCCTGAAGTCATTTTACCCCCAGGGGACGTTTGACAGTGTCTGGAGACATTTTTCGTCATAATTGAGAGGGTGCTGTTGGCATCTAGTGGGTAGAGGTCAGTGATGCTGCTCAGACATCCTGTGGTGCACACAACAGCCTTCCTCAACAAAGAATTACCCAGCCCAGAATATCCATAGTGCCTGGGTTGGGAAACCCAGCATTAAGCTAAGAGTCCCAAAACAACTGCCATGGTTGTTGGGCTTAAACATGTGGGAGGTTCGTGGGCTTAAACATGTGGGAGAAGTGCTATGAGGCCATCATTGATCAGGGTCTTGTCCTAGGCCTGTGGTCAGGGGAACCTTCCTGACATGAAGCTTGAAAGTGGGCTCTGAAAATGAATAGTTTTATTCAGACAAAAAGAGTTTGACATTATATGACTTCTTGGTGTTTGCCTAATGAGCTACTCACCCAGAGCAAAAAACTAGAGACTTTGGAATGTATTAACTGGATACCTAGTATGTGCCTTAAGGCGAGGGATGCTGGTGGTGGGGGAGGGGGGCCTGGCCCTCTAGTTGCTTAGCCCGGAGCAGGGAACAGACCTTCCCGGTATACTAATGAGGCCACTGACTCAGGTGTTCAGAGGGCCATGGGGACATAGCAGTTCTGCCTGAGGGTTTGAAGGAAGGCTTCATGGAGGAGGTGTCATCCACAGCAAATCTTGAAGGCCAAGCAGGAAAGCATGTACCAAGCAAAACCAACAGCACATGTGAGAGTTTGGAGGGCTGGAAGCCTGGCTCTGCCGCCTGAGACAGGAGAGTGTGAGGACTGAGGTGGGAGCTGTGAGCAAAGGTCAGAGCAAGAAGATTCGAGAAGTCAGCACTTACCCTTCAGAGCGGGGGAGGCACAGAGGGATTTTCAGTAGCAGAGTGATGTGGGAAAACTGGCTCAGAAGGCCAGAGTGCACTCAGGCTTAGCTGCATGAAAACATGTACGTAGGCCCCCAGCATAATGCTTTTGCCTTTGGGAGCATCTTCTGTGTCCTCTGGAGAAAAGGACTTAGCTTCAGCCCAGGGTTGGGGAAGGTCTGCAGGTGTCTTCTGGATAAGAGTTGCTACCTTTTGCACCTAGGCTCAAGATCAGCCCCAACCTGCCCAGGTCCCTCCTGTCCCCTGTCCTCTATCCTTGACGTTAGTGGGACAGCTGCCTTGTACAGATGGTCAACATGGGCTAGTGAAAAAAGCCTGAGCAGGTGGGAGAGGCTGCCCAAAGGCTACAGGAGTGAACAGTTAAGTTTAGGTTCTTCAGGGGGAGTCCACAATGTTGGGCTTAGGGAGAGTGATGAGCCTGCAGCCATGGAGAGGGAGCAACCCCTCGTACAGACTCAGAGGAGGCAGACTGGAAGGAGGAAGGTTCATAACACCATGGTTAGAGACCCCATGGAGGGATGTGCAAAATGTCCTGACAACAGTAGCTCTAGGGGTCTGGAGATGACATTTGGGCTGTGCTTTAAAGGATGATTATAGTTTTCTCAGGCAGGGAAGGGAGACAAACATAAACTAAGGGACCAGATTAAGCTAAGTTATAGAAGCAGGACATTTATGTTAGAATCTTCTCATTTCCCCCAAATATCCATTCTCTTTCTGAGAATTAATGCTGACAACTTTTAGGTCAGCATATGGTAGGCTGGAATAAACAGTTTTCCTGCCTTCCTTGCAGCAGACAGGTCTGTCCCTTGTCATGCAAACAGAGGTGGTAGGTGTCAATTTCTTAAGAACCTCTTTAAAATATAGCTGGCATCCATCCTGTAACTTTTTCTTCCCTTTCCACCTTCCTCCTGGCTGGGACACAGACCCGATTCCTGGAATTTGCACAGCCATCTTTGATCATGTTAAGAATGGGTCAGCGACAAGATCCAAGAAGCCTGGGTCCCTGTCACCCAGATGCCCCAACTGCCCACCTCAGGATTTGTTTTACATGAGAAAGAAGCTTCTATGTTATTTAGGTTCCTAGTATTTGGGCTTTCTCTGAACCTAATTATAACTGATACATATTCTCTGATTTAATTTATATTGAAATCATTCAAGCTAAAGCTGAAAAAGTGAATTGTGGTAGTTTAGGATTCCCCAATAAGGAATTTGAACTTTATCCTATTGGCAGTAGGGAACAAAAGATTTCTGAGCCAGAAGATGAGAACTGTGCTTTGGGGGGAAAAAAAAAATTCCTCTGGCAGCAGGTTAGGGGACAGTTGGGAGAAGGGAGGCACTAAAAGAAGAGATAACATCAGAAATTCCCAGGTTTCTGAATTTCAAATAAGGAAAATCCCCTGAAACTTCAAAGACCAACATGGGGATTACCAACATTGCAGAGGCCAGCACGGAGAGGAGACTGTGACAAGACCATAGAAAGAATTGAAGTTCAAATGGATCATCTCTTTGCACACTCTACAAGTACAGGAGGCTATTTTCATTTCCAGGCTGAATAATTTCTCTGTAGAGTGGGGACAGCTCTTCAGGCCCACTAAGTAAACAGAATCCTTTTTAAATGGCTGGAGAAGGAACCCTGGGCTCCAGGAGACTGAAAGAAGACAAACAGGCATTACCTCCTAAACCAAAGCTCGAGCACACCTGACACCCCAAGGCTTCGTGACTCTGGTGCTTGGTGTCTTCTGGGAGCATCCACCCTGCAACTACCTACAGCCACTGCCATAACACTGATGACTGCTTTGTGTCTTGGGAGATGAGATAAATAAGCCTGCTCTCCTCAGAGAAAGACTTGAGACCCAGAAGGTTCTTGCATTCATCTGTCTGTGGCAAGCATGCCTGTCCTTGTGCCAGGAAGCTCTTGGCTGCACCTACCAGCCTTATACTTGTTGCTAGGCACTGTGCCCTGGGTAGGACAGTGGGCCCAGCCAGAGCAGCTGGAAATGGTAAAGAAGAGACTCAGGCCTGGGGCAGCATCTGCCTGCATTTGCAGGCAGGAAAATCCTGGGAAGACAGCAGAGCTGACCTAAAGGTAAGGAGACGTTCACACTGCCTGAAAGAAAAGTAAGCTTTCCCTATGCCCCTAACCCTTTGCAGTGTATAAGCCCTTTTACCCATATCTCCATTTGATTTTTACAACTTCCCTGTATCGAGATTTTAATTAATATAACTTTACAGAAGAGGAAGACACCAAGAGGCTAAGTGAGTTGCTCAAGGTCACACGGCAGGCAGCAAGCAGATTTGGCACGAGAAACCAGCTCCCCTGACCCTGTCTGGTCACCCTACCAGTCAGTCCTGATTTTTTTTGGCCCCACAATTGGCCTTGTGCTCCCTCTTTGGACTCCTTGATTTTGTTCAGTGATAATTAGCATGTCAATCAGAAGAGAGTTCAAATTTCCCTGAGTCTGTGTCTCATGGGGAGGCAAGAAAAAGGAGAATCAGGAGGGCATTGAAGTAATTCAGGTAAGAGATCATTTGTTTATTCACCTAATAAATATTTTGAACACCCACTATGTGAAAATCACTGTTATAGGTGTTAGGGATACAGTAGGAGCCAAAAAACACGGCCCCTGGTACCAGGGAGCTTACATTCTAGTAGAAGAGAAAGACCATGAATAAGTGAAGAAATAAAGCGATTACAGAATATGGGTAGATGCTGTGAAAGAAACAACAGAGTGATATCACAGTGGCAGGGTACTTGAGATGAGGGCAAGGAAGGTCTGAGGCCTGAATAAGGAGCCAACCATATTGCAAAGGGAACAGCACAGTTAAAAGCCCTGACGTATGAACGATTATGACAAGGCCTGCTGTGGATGGATTTGGCAACATTTAGAAGGAAGAATCAACAGGACAGACTAGATGTGGCAGTTGAAGGTTGAACTTTAGCACTTTGCTGGATGGAAGGTGCCACTCCCTGAATTAGGAAACTGAAGGAGGAGCAGGATTTAAGAGACAGCCATTTCCCCTATGGAGGGCTTTCAGTCCCATCTGTGTAACAGGTTGATCAGACTATATGACAACCAAGGTTAGAACCAGTTCTTAAGAATATTATCCTCATACTACTGAATTCCAAATGGATCAAAGATTGCAATATAAAAATAAGTCCTAAAAATAACAATAAACCACGGGAGGTGAAATCCAGAATCAAAGAAAAATTAAAGATGGATAAATTTGACCCCATAAATATCTTACGTTTTTGCATAGCAGAAAATACTCTGGGCAAAGTCAAAAGTCAACAAACTGGGAAAAAATATTTGCAACTCATCTAACAACTGATTTCCCTAATATACAGTGAGCTCCTATGAATCAATAAGAAAATGGGTAAAGGGGGAGCCTGGGTGGCTCAGTCAGTTAAACATCCGACTCTTGGTCTCAGCTCAGGTCATGATCTGGGGTAGTGAGATCGAGCTGAGCCCTGCATCGGGCTCTGAACTCAGCGGGGAGTCTGCTTGAGATTCTCTCCCTCTGCCCCTCACCAACCCCGCCCCCCCATCGGCTCTTGCATCTCTCTCTCTCAAATAAATAAATAACTCTAAAAGAGGGGGGCACCTGGGTCACTCAGTCACTTGAGTGGCTGACTCTGAATTTTGGCTCAGGGTCCTGGAATCAAGCCCAGGCTCTGCGCTCAGCAGGGAGTCTGCTTGAGAATTCTGTCTCCC